TCACATTGAACCTCGACGCTTCGTTTGAGTCACGCACTTGGTGTGATTCTCATCTTGTCACTACCTTCTGGGTGGCCTGGATTATAACAACGGTGAGCGACAGCTTTCTGGTGACATCGAGCGAGCTGGATAATTCGTGACGACTCACACTAATTCTCGCTTCCTAAGCATCGCGCGAAGTTCATCTGTCTACAGCAGTTAGTCATTCAGAACGAGGGGACTCCTTATAAAAATTTCTTCCTTAAGGGCGCGTTGATATCAACCCCGGGTCTTGAGTTGGGAAGTGTTCGCTTTTCTGAATGCAGCGGAAATGTAGATATCGCACGTCTGAAGCTGGCTTTTGTAGGAACCCATGAAAAACAATGACTGGCAGGTTGCTTCGGTTAACGGAACTCTTTGCTGCTTTACACGAACAGATGGGAGTTTATATACCCGCCTAAGTGACCCTGGAGACCCGCTGCCATCCCCGACTGTGGGATCCTTCTTTCTGGTCATCTAACAAAGTCTAGAGAGAACGAGAATTTTGACCAAATCTTTCTCCTGATCCTTATGACCTGTACCCCTGAGAATTCTCTCTTTTGTGGCTTGATCTTTCAGTAATTCTGATGTATCGTAGCGTTCACCTCAAAAGCCATGCTTGCAGTTTTACGTGTTGGTTCATTGAAGCTCTCCTCTCCTGCGAAATAGCGCCAACTGAAAAATTGGATCATTCATTAGAATTGACCTACGACATGAGAAATGCATCTTGTCCACAAAACCCAAGCTTCAAAACTGTACAAGAACTGCTTAAAGGCAAACCCTGGATGAGCCCGACTAGTAGGAAGGATACCATAAGGGGAATTTGGGGTACGTATGTACCTTCATAGATCATGCCAGCTTCGTTGCCCAAATTGCGCGATTAGGGCGCTAATCCATTACGAACCTGCAACCATCGACCCTCGCTGCAACGCTTCCCACCCACCGCTATTGATGTAGAGATCAGCGTGCTCTCTCGCGTATTTGTCTTCTTTGATCGCCCTCTCGCCATCGTACCACATCCGACGTACAATAGGTTAAGGCTTCAATTTTTGTCGTTTCCGATGATTTCTCTTGTCCTCCTTTCCACTTTCACTTCATTCGCAGCTCAAGTCATACTACGATGCGCCTATAGCTAGTTTTTTTGTTCCGGGGCTCGCCTTCGAGAGATGGTCCTCTAAGTGTTTAATTATGCTCACAACAAAAGCCGTCATGTTTAAATGAGCAGCCGAAGCTTCAAGGGTTCTTTCAAGAGTCATTTTGCACTTTCTGGTCCTACCAGCTGGTAAGCTGTCCGCTTAGCCAAAGATCAACTAATCTGATTTTGGTTATGGTACCGTGACCGATAGTTGTAGAGCTTCTGCCGGCTAAATTTGATTAGTGGCTCCTTGTCGGCGTATCGCCTGGGGGTTTGTGATCCCTTTCAGTTGACACACGACTGCCCAAAGTCAACGATTAGATTTTTGAGTTGCGCAGAATCGCCGCTAATACGCACGCACCATTGTCCCGCATTTCGTCCTCAAAACGGAATTCGGTGGATCGCAGGGTTTTTGCTTGGATTAGCAAAAGCATCTTTAAAATTGATCAAAAACTACTCAATAAAGGCTTCTGATTATTTATCAATGGACTTAAATTTTTGTCTAGCCTAAAATGTTTCACTTAAGATGTATGCTGAACACCGGGTGCAGCAATCGGACATGTGCGCAGTCGCTCGGCTGTTCCCATCCTACCAAATTCCCTTCGGCCGGACAAGCAGGCTCGTGCGTCATTCATCAATAGTCATCCGCACACAAGTCGAGCGGTAAGAACTTGAAGTTCATGCGCATTCATTTACACCAAATTCACTACAAATCAAAGGATTGCGCGCTGTGTTTCTGTTTCTAGACTCGCCCACACAGGAGACTGATATGGCAAATTCGACATCTCCATTTGCATGGAACTCCGATGCATTCCCAGCGGTGTCTGGGTTCGCGATTTCCTAAGCCTGTCCATGTAATCCTTAGCCCGTATGCGAATGGCGGTCTGTCTCCCCATCTAAGGTCTTACGCACTGTTGTTTCTGTTTCTACTGCCGAAATAGAGACTGTAATTACCAAAATGGACATCTCCATGGCATTGACGCGATACCATGCTCAGTGGGGGGCAAGACCGCCACTTCACGCTAACGGTTGATCGCTACCGAATCAGTTTGAGTAAATTGGAAGTAACTTGATTTCATCCTGATTCGGGCCGAACATCCGTACAAATATGTAAACACCGATTTAACTGTAAGCTGGGTGTATAACGATCGACGAAATCCTCGACCAGGGCTGTGTGCTGTGCGAGAGTAGTGCCGAGAGTGAACATACGCGCGGAGAGCACAGACGGCGCATGGGGAGTATGAATGTTCGCGCGGGAGAGCGTAAATGACCACGCATCCTTCGACGAGCCATTGAGAAATCCTTGAACGATATTTACCCTTATTGATTAATGTGTTAGAGGACATACGATAGTTAATCAGCACCCAAGAGAATTTACAATCATGACGCAAATTTTATATAATAGTTCGCAGTGTGACCTTAAGCTGCTGGCAGTTAACATTCGCTCTTAAAGTTTAAAAAAATTGTATCACTCTGTTGGGAGGACCGGGGGGGGGGTGAGTACCGCCGTTACTGTGACAACATGCGTGTCACGGCTTGCTCATTGGCGTAAGCGAAGAAATCCGGAGCCCAGAGGGGTGTCAGGTAGGGGCGGACGGCGGGTGTCAATCAATTTGATGTGAAAAGTGGAATGTGCGAGCAGAAATGCCGAGGGCAATGATGGCGACTGCCTATTTCCCAACTGTAAATTGTAAGCTAGTACTAAAACTGATTCCCCTCGAGATTCCGTTCTTATGATATTTGGAACGTAAGATAGTAAGCTATGACGGCTGTGAAATTTCCATTGAAACGGGACTGACGCTGATGGATTGGAGACGCTTATCATATGGCATTTAGAGAGCAAAAATGAAAAGCACGAATTCCTTCAAAATTTGCTATCTGCTTGTTGAACTTAAAAAATACTAAAAAGCCACTGTTCATGTGCTGGGCTTCTTAACTATGTGCTCACTTATTCTTTCTTCAGAAAGGCACGAAAACCTGCGTTGGAAACAACTCGCACGTTCGCCACGTTATTCGCCGATATGGAAATCCGACAGCGACTGGTGATGGCTCAGTCCGTCGAAGCGTTCAGGTGAATAAATGGATTCTCCGAGCAAGTGCAATAGCAAATAGAAGCAAAGAGCCTTTTTGGCTTTTGAAAGATGACAGTCGCACTGGTGGAGCCTCGCTCACTTGTGATCTCCCGCAAGGGACCCCAACTGTGCACGAAAATAAATGCTGTTCGGCAATCATTTCAAGTTTACCCCTTTTTCTGGCGGGTTTTCGCCTGACAGGAGCAGAAGTGAAACACTGATCATCCTCAATAGCAGTGATCGTAGTAAAGTTAGTTATAAGAGTTTTTAACTTATCCATTCAATCGACACCGTTACTCTCACGCAGCCAAAGAACTTGCCATGCGACCAAAATCACATGGCGTGAACGGAAGTCCTCCATTCATCTCAGTCAAGCGAAAGAACAGATTGTAAGTGCATCCAAAATGATCCTTTAGTTCACCCCCGCATTTTTCGCATTCTTCACACGTTCAATTTCCTATGCAAAAGGAGCTTCACGATAACTGATCTAACCAACCCGATGCCCTCAAATAGTTGCCTGTCCGAATATGCGGCAGATCAAGACCCGCAGTGACATACTATTATAAGAACAAAGCAGGATCCTAATTACAGTCTTCCTTCTCTTCTCTTCCTCTAGCGTTGTTCCGCGCAGGTCGCAAGGGTTCGCATGTTTTGGTCAGCCTCGTTTTCTAACCCTTGTCCAGCGCGTCCAGCCGCAGGCCCATCTCAGCATCCTCATTTCGGCAGAGTGAAGCTGCCTTTCCTGATTCTTGTTCAAGGCCCAGCACTCGCTGCCGTAGAGCATCGCAGGCCTTACCACTGTCCGGTACACCTTCCCTTTGAGCGCTCTGGAGCACCTTCGATCGCAGAGGATTCCAGTGGACTCCCTTCCATTCACCATTACAGTTTCTTGCCAAACGTGCAAAATTAGATGCATACAGAAGAAGAGGTTGGTAACTGGACTGAGGATGAAACAGGTGGAGCAGGTCGATAATAACGCAGGGGCTCCTGCACACTATATGGAATCGCGACCTGATTGAGCCTGAACAATTACGCGATCACTCCATCTCAGCGTGAATGGCAAGTTGCGAGAAGAACAGTCTTCGAGAAGGAAAGCAAAGACATACAGCCGAATCGTTTCCGCCAGTCATTTTATGGACCAAAATCAATGGCGTGGACGGACGAGGACTAATCACTCCACCTGTTTCCAAGGCTTTTCCATCACCGGAGGGGGGAGGGAGGGGGTGCTACGCAGCTAAAGTTAGCGCTTACCATTCATATCATATAATTTAGAGGTAACGACTGTGATAATCTGGTATTGATGAAGTATGAAATTGAACTTAAATCAGATTATTCACGTGTCGATGCCAATCCTAGGAGAATCCCAAAGGAGAGTCGGGACTTTAATTCGGCCCGCTAATTCCCAATCCATGTTTGGGCTTCTAATGGAACGATAGAGCTTACTTGGTCCGGGGTACCTCAACTAAGATACTATCTGATGAATTGAAAACCGTCCTTTTGAAACAAGCTTCAAACCACAGCAGAAGAAGTAACATATGGAAAACGATTTCGTTTGATTTTTTCCACGTCTCTGAAAGTGAACGGAAAGACCTCACGCAAGCAAGGGTCAAACCGTCCGTTCGAACAGTTCGAACTGGGTCGCATTTGTGGTCTGAAGGGGGAGGGGGAGACGTAATTGCTCAGTGTCGCATTGCACGGGGCGTCAGGGTATAGGGCAGGTGCGTGTGAAAAAAGTTGCCGTTTTTTCACTGTATATACCTCCCCCCCCGCTCGACGGCTGTTTTTGGGGGAAAAGTGGGTGGAGTTTCGGAGTTTTAGGTAGGTTTTGGGCTGTGTCAACTGGTCTCAGAATCAAATACTATAGAAGAGGGAGAGGTCGCGGTGGAGGAAGGCTGGTTGTATTGGGGGGTCGCAACTGGACCCTCTCGAGAGGGGGGGGTCGCAAAAATCCCGAAAATGTTCGAACGTGACGGTTGACCTGCTGCTCGCAAGCCCCGGTACCTGCTTCAGCGCTTTTTATGCCACACAGCTGCGTCTGCGCGACAGCACCCGTTACAATGGTCTTGTTACTTGTCTTGGTTTTTCTTTGGGTTCTTCTCTGCTCCTTCGAACTCCAATTATTGCGCTGTCTCTCAACCTTCGTCAATGGACATTCTTCGTTTCATCTATTTGTCAGATTTTAACTACGACCTTTTCTTACAATGACAATTCGCTGCTATTTGTGGCAAAAGTCATTCTATCCAAGTAATTCGATTATCTCAAATTGCGTTTTCAGTTTGGTCCAAATGCATGGTATCCGTTTCGCGGTCTATCAGAGGAGTTCAAACGACGACTGGCTGTCTATCCGTCCGATTTCATCGACGGCGTCACTGGCCATCGAACGATGCAAAAGCTTTTCTCGACAGTAGTCTTCCTCTACTTCGCATGTCTTCTGCCAGCGATTGCCTTGGAGTGCTCAACGACGACAACACGAATGGAAGCATCAGTAAGAATAGTAAAGTACTAAAAACTCAAACATTACTACAGTACGATCGCGTACCGACCTGCCGCATTATTGTGATTCTTCGAGGGCAACTGTAGGGTTGCGTTGTGTCGGTAAGTTAGGCGGGCCCTTCGCACGTCCCTATACTGGTTGGGAACGTGCTCCTCACCCTGTCATGGAGCCCCAGTCGTAAAAAACTGGTCACTCTCTCTGTACTGATAATGATTTCGTCTGACAAAAACGAAGTGTATGTCACACTTAGGCTTTATAAAGTTTAATGAATTCTCCGCCCAAATGATGAAATAGCATCATGTATTATTATAGCCTGCTCGCGAATTGAATCCCTTGAAAAAAAAGGTCAATGGGGTTAAGATTGTTGCATAAAGTAAGTAGGTACCATCTGCTCCAAAAAACCGGAAGCGCGTCCAGTGAAGAACACACCACAAGTTACGACGGCTCCAAGTAAATCTTATAGCTAGTGGATTCGCAGTGATAGCTGATGAATGGTACATGAGAGTTACAATTTTTGGCTGTTGAAAGAATACAACTACAACACGCCAACCTTTCGTTGACAGTAAACACAAACATTTTGTAGAGGCCATCGCCACTTGTGGTGTGTGGTCTGTACTCGACGCACTTCTGATATCCCGAAGCAGAATATACCTGGTCCTCTCTTAGCAAAGGCTCGCTGATTTCCTTTTCCACGAGTCACAGATCACTTGTAGATTAAGAAAAAACGCCAAAAATGTATTATCGATATCAGCCTTCCGCGCGCCCGTCCCAGATAAGGAAAGATTATTTTGAGGATTCCACGTATGAGGTGGTCGAGAAGGCAAATATATAGAAGTCCGAAAGACAGCGGGACCTTGAGGGGAGGACCATTGCCGCGCTTCGTAGCGAAGCCAGTAGCCGTCCCCAGCCGCCAGCAAGTCATATCCCGCGTCGCACGCCCTACTCGCTATTGAGACCGCCGTCAAAACTCTAACGCGACTTAGAGCGTTAGCGTTGAATGAGAGCACGCGATGAGAGTCGTGGGAAGCTTCGCAGTTACATGCAGAATCAACGGGCAGGTAAGGGGTCCCATCTCGGGTTCTGGGCCATTTCTCATGGTTCTCATGGCCACCTCTACCCTCTTCTCTACTGGGCTGCATTTCAGTCGCAAATTCTGCCTTTAAGAGGTTTTGAAATCGCTGCCACAGAAATCGCATATCAAAAAAGAAGCTTTGTTGCTCCGCAGCCTCTAGGTGCCTCTATTTCTCTTTCATTCCGAGGCATTACAAATTCCTTCGGTCGTAATTCCGATCAATCTATTATTTGAAATCTATATTTCATTCCTGGCATAATAGTGATTGCTTTTAGATGTACGAAAAGTGATAATTGCCCAAGCGATCGGCGGCATCTTTTTCTCGTTATGTGGCGGTCAGCCGATGATCATATTGCTCACCACTGTACCGTTAGCCATTTACATTAAAGGTCAGTTCGAAGAGATTCCAGCGCTTCATGATTTCAAATTAAACTATTTTAGTGATCTTCAAAATCTCTCAAGAACTTGGCTATGATTTCTTCGCTATGTATGCATGTGTCGGTTTATTCTGCCAATTATTTCTCGTCCTTTATTCGGCGACTGAGCTATGCAGTTTGATGAAATTGGCGACTCGGTAGGTGAATTTGAAAGTGGATCCAGGTCTCTTCAGCAGCTTATGGAGTTCCAAAGGAAGCAAATGTGTTCCCTACAAATAGGTAAACGCTCGCGCACGACATTCATGATGCAAAATGAAGTAGAGTTCTCCATAGAATGCGAGGGAGACGGCACTTCCTGGGCTCTGCGTCCCTAGCGCTAAGGATAAGAGCTTCTGTAATTAGCCTATGTGAAGGAACTTTCTGGTAATAACCTGTGTCCCTAATCCCACGACACTGTTACTAGTGCTAAGAAGTTCCCCCATAAAGCAAAGGAAAGCCTGCCGCTGCCCTGCACTTTCTCCAGAAAATTTCAAGTCCATTCACCACTGTCCACACTCAGCGGCTTTACTGTAATATCCATCCTCAAAACAGCTACCTTGATTTCTTCAAACCGCTTCCGGTGGAATGTCGTCAAGGTGGCTTAGCAGCTCACGCAGGCCCCACTGCTGGCCTAACCTTGAGACTCCTTGTACGCCTATGAACTTTAGAAAGCGGATTTGAGCTCGAACCATCGTTCTCTGTCTTGTTTCATGTGAACTGTGTTCTCGTGGCAATGTCTCTGATAAACTCCCGTCCATTGGAAGCAATCAGTTTACCAAAATTTAAGAAAAAATCAAAGGCCGGTTAATTGAAGTTTTTTCTTTTCCTCCCCCGCCCTACGTCTCACCTGTAAAACAAACCTGGTCTCGTAACCGTTTAGTATCGCTACGTGGAAGCACTCAATACCCGATCAAGCTTCGAAATGTTTCAGGTCGGCTGAAGAAATGTTCTCGTTGTTTATCGCGATAGCCTTCACTGTAGAAAGTATACGGGCCATACATAATAGTGAGTAATTTCAGAAATTTAACGTATGTCATGGCATTTTCATTTTGATTTTTGAGTCAACAATTCTAATTTTCATTACTCGACCCACGAGATCCCCTTAAATCTAAGGAGGTTTTGGCTTTGGACAAAAAGGTGTTTAGTAATTTCCAGTCATAGAAGGACGGATGTTAAAGGTTTAAAGGCATGCCCCAGGATCGCACTGGTGTGGCTCTTGCACACGAATGTGAATGTATCGGTGCCAAGTGGGCCGGCAGTGAAGAAAAAAGGAAAAGAATCCGTCGAAAACGCTCAGGTTGAGGGCTCACTCACCTTCCTAATTGGCTGTGCTAAAGGAACGAGAGACTAAGCGCGAAGAGGAGAGTATGGGGCGAGAGAGCGCATCAGATGAGAGAGCACCAGACAACGGCCTGATAAGAGAGCTCGTTCGCTGCAGCTCGAGCAGCTTACTTTGCAAGCCCAAAGCGTTCTTGTCGGTCGAATTCCGTGCACGTGAACGCCACATTTGTGATTGTCCCCTAGGGTTCTATACTTCTGACCGAAGAGAAGAGTTCACACGAACTCTGCCTGGGTTGTGCCTTTAAGGTCAAAAACCGCAACCTGGCTTCCTTTCATACAGCATATTGATACGTGAATGTCCTGTCCTGGAAGCGGGCGGTCCCAACTCGTTCACGGGGTTTCTGTCGTCAGGTTCGAAATAGTGCGTCGGATGTGTAAGTAGGAGCATGCATGAGTCGTGGAACAAGCCCACAGGTCATCCACGAAATCGGGGTCGGAATTTTTGAGACACCTATTTTGTGAGATGTGAACCATACAAAACGACGAATTACCAGTCAGCATTTTCTCTTGATTTTGCAACACCACAACCGATTTGCGCGAAATGACTTCAGCTCAAGCAATATATCCTTGAACCAACCCGCCCACGATACCCCACTCATCAGATAGTCGCCAGTCAACTGTCCGGCAGCGTCCATAGTCATATGAACTTTGAAGATACTGACTTCATTTCAATCTAACCGTTTAGTATTCCTCAAAAACTACAGCGGATGTGATTCACCGAGTGTTGCCAGAGACAATTTGTCCACCTTCAACAGTACGTCTGCGGCTCTACAGGCATGTGATTTTTTTGTCTTTTTCCATAGCTGTCGAGCTGGCTACTTAATCCAAAAATTTCCAGGATACTGCTGTGCTTTGTCGACGTGACACATCGATACTGTACATGTTGCTGATGTTTGGAACACTTTGGCTCGGTCTTTTTCTGTATAACTTCAGAAAGGTATTACTCTTGATTGCAGTGTTCTTGTACCATTTAGTGGCTTTGACGGGAACTGGGCTTTGTCCAAATTTTATCGCTGCAAACGTCATGCTCAATTGTTTGGCTGATGCGGGAGTTGAAACCTGCACCGCACCACTCGACTGAAATGAACACCCGTCCACTATTTTTCTCCTATTCTGGTAATAAAGGGGTTCTAGAAAAAGCAGGAAAGCCGGCTGAGTGACCCTTCCAAAGCCAGGATGGTAGAGTCTAATTCGGCCCTGATTTCACCTCCGGACCATCCGGACCATGTGCGTGGTGAGCGGCGCCACTTGCTGCAGTTCAGCTCAAAGGATAACTGTATAGGAGCCGCAGCTGAAAAAAAAACAATCAGAAACGTGAATTTCTGAGAGAAGTAAAAG